TCTTTCTTTCTTTCTTTCTTTCTTTCTTTCTTTCTTTCTTTCTTTCTCTTTTCTTTCTTTCTTTCTTTCTTTCTTTCTTTCTTTCTTTCTTTCTTCCTTTCTTTCTTTTTTTGTAATTAAAAAAATATATATTATAAAAAATGTTACAAATGAAGTTAATTTGGTTTTCTTATTTTATTACAGATGCTGTAGTTAACAAGGGAGGTGATGAACCTGTAGGGAAAGGAGATGGTAAGAAATCCTGAGAAATATTTTCGTGACAATCAAAAGCAGTACTGTGACTGCCACTGCATAACAACTTAGCCCCCTTCCTTTAGCTTTAAGTAGCAAACACTCTGGTACCTCACTGTTTCTGTGAGTTAAGCAACACTTGGTCGGATGCCTTTGGCTTCAGATCTTTCCTTTCTTGATGCTTCAGGTGAGGCAGCAGCTGGAGCTGTATTCAACTCTGCTTCCAAGCTCATTCATGTGGCTTTTGACTGGAGAGACCAGTGTCTTGCACCCTTGGGCATCTCCTCAGCTGCACTAACAACAGATCAGCTGCTTTCCTCAAAGTGGACAGTGAGAGAGAGGGCATCTGAGAGAGAAGCCACACTGCCAGCTGATCTTGGGAGTGACATCACCCCACTTTTGCCATATTCCTTTCCTTAGTCCAACTCATGCAAACTGAGCAGGATGCACACAGCATGGAAGTTGGGCTTAGTCATCAGGGCTCATCTTACAGGCTGCCATGGACACATACAAATTAACACTTAGTTATCAAGAACTAATACTGTCTAAATCATTGATTGTGGTCTGTAGTTTTCAAAAGAAAAGAAACTTTTTAAGACACTCTTGCCTTGTAGTCCAGGCTGGCCTTGTACAAATAGTCTTCCTATTTAATGCTCCTGAGCACATACGTATTTAAAGGCTTACCGTACTTCCAGATAGGAAATAAGAGTGTCAGGTGTTGAAAGGATATGCCCCAAATTCATGTCCGTTCCAGCTCAGAGATAAGCCAGGCCTCTGAGTTCAAACCATTGTCTTTTGCCTAATTATTTGCATTATTTTAATAAAGTCTTATGCTAAGAGTCTAAGATTGAGAAACATGTGCATATGGCATTTCCTTCCTCTTTTCAGGCCTTGACTTTCTACCACAGCTGAGTTCACTGTTGCCCCTCAGAAAAAATCCAGTCACTTCCAGCACTTTGGTTTTGCACTCCAGTCCTCTTAATGTCTTTATGGGGTCTCCAGGGAAAGAAGAAAATGAAAGTCATGACCTGACAGCTGAGACTAAGAAATCATACCTGGGAAAGCAGGAACCTAATGACTCCTTAAAGCAGGTACCCACTCAAAAGAAACACCCAAATTCAGTGTTTGTCCCTCAGAAGGGGCAGCCACCAATGAATGTGTCCTAATTATTAATGTCATATACTTACTAGGGAAGGAAATAGTTTTAAGTCTTGATGCCTGTTTTTAATAACTGAAGAACAGTTCTGAAGCCTGTCAAACCTTGACTGTGTTACAGATAACCACACATCTGAAAGAGAATACCTCATACCTGAATTTTATTTTATTTTAGGTTTTTTTTTTTTTTTTTTGAGGAGAAATGATTTTTATTCTCATGAAGTCAAGGAAAAGAATCAACTTCATGTTTAAATAGAGAAAATCAAGTTAAAATAATATATATTGTAACCCCATATCTGAGTATATTCTTCATTCTCATTAAGGAAAAGAAATTTGCAGTTCATGTGACTTCTGAGAAGCTGAAGCACGGTTGATGTGTTCTTGTGCATATGTTCAGGTCACTGGGTCTCCTTTGAGAAGTGAAGAGACTCAAAAGATTTTAAAATGAAAAATCCTAATCTCTTAAATAGGGATTAAAAAAGAAATATGTAGAAAACGGGAAAAATTCTTTTGAAATATATTTCCACTGCAGCCTAAAGCAAGCTGGTGGTCAAGTGGTTCTTAGTGTGAGAGAAAATCTGAGGTTGCTAAGAACCACTAAAGTATTGGTACCTTGAGGTCAAAGGTCATAGGAAGGTCAAGTTTGTAGGTGTTCAAGTATTTGTCTTTGTTTTCTTATATTTAAAACCAGGTGTTAAAAGATAATCAAATCAGAAGTACAAAAATGTCCTTATTTTCCTGATACTTCTGTCTAGTTACTATGCAAGAGTCCAGAGGTCACTTCCCTCCCCCTCTCCTTTCTCTTCCCAGTGATTTGCAAATATAGTCAACAAGAGCTTGGTGAATTAGCTTTCTGTAAATATTCACATTTTGATACATACTTGCTTTGTTGTTAGCAGTAGCTCCTTGTTGATCTCTCTCTCTTCCTCATTTTCCTAACCCTACCTGCTGGAGGAAAAAAAGTGTGAACTAGATAAAAGTTTTGTGGGTAACAGGATAAAATAAGCAATGACATATTAAAGTGACTGTTTGTTTTGAATACAAAGTTTCCAAAGTTGATCTCTGGTGCTGAACCTGGAATTCTAAATACCTGTCCATCATCTAACCAAACAAGAAATCTTGAAAAACTTGAAAAGCCAGAGAAAGAAATTGAAGCCCACTTGATACATGAACCATCAGTCAATGGAGCCTCAACTCCAAGTAAGCACTTTGAACGTCCTCGTGTTTGAAAATGTGCAGTTGGAAAGTCCCCTGGTTATTTCAGTGGTAAGAAATAGAGTAACCATACAGTTAAAGGATTGAGTATATAGACAGGTCACCAGCATGAATTCTCCATTTTTGTTAGAAGGCATGAGTGGCTACATCCAGCAGTCCTGATTTGATTATTTGATGTGAACTTCATTCTCAGTCCAATATAGAAGGGCTTGATTTAATTCGGTGTACATAGAATGAAGTAGGACTTTTTGAAAAGGCATGGTTAAATGCCTGAAATATGTAAAACATTTGTGTTAAGTTTTATTCTTGGTGTTCATGCCATAGACTCATAAGACCAGTTGTGTTTAAGGGAGCTGAGCTGCCCTGTAAGAGCTACCTGTGCACATCTGTCCATAGAGAGCCAGTCTGCATTGGTTAAAAACGCCAGGGTCTTAACCACTGGCAACTGCTTCATGCATCTGCTTCTGTATGTTTTCAGTAGTCTAGTTTGTGGTGCAGCTTGTCACATACATTTCTGTAAGAGGAAATGGTTCAGGGATTCTTCAGGATTAATCCCTCTGTCTTGTGTTATTATATTAGACAGTTGGCAGTTTAAATGACCGTTAGAAATAATGTCATAGCAAGTTTCTAAAGTTTGTACTCCAGAAAGTGGCTTTTTCTAAATGTCACAGAAACACTGTTCTTTTGCAGTTTCCCAAGTCTTTCTGTACTAAATCTTATTTAGAAATGGTTGATGTCTCTTAGTCTAAGTTAACTATCATTTTTCTCTCCATTAGTTTCAGTGCCAAAGGTAGCATCCTCCGTCACTGCTGGGGTAGCCAGTTCCCTCTCAGAAAAAATAGTTGACACCCTCGGAAACAGCCGGCCGAATGCCCCGCTCACCTCTGTTCAGATCCGCTTCATTCAGAACATGATACAGGAAACACTGGATGACTTCAGGTAGCAGTGAGAAGCTGCTCTTTTACCCACTGAGTTTGTCTTACCTGTGGAAGCCGGAACCAGAATTCATATTGGTGATTGCTGCGTGTGTTTAGGTTCTGATGGTCACAGAAATAGAGTATGGATTTTGGTCTTTGTGTACTGCACTGTGAAGAGGCACACTTGCCAGCCTGACAGAGAAGCCTAGTGTGCCTGAGTCAGCAGAATGTGGGCAGAGTCTTACATGTTCAAATGTAGTTCTTCCATGCAGTATTTACAGATCCCCTTTAAGGGCACTGTAGGAAGTGATGTGTGAAACATAGACCTTTTATGCTTTATAGTTTTTGCGGGAGCTGTAATAGGAGAGCATATGTCACTGCACCCCTGTAGAGGTCAGAGGTCAGCTTTTGGGGTCATTTCTCGTTTTCTGTTGTGTGGGTTCTGGAGATTAAACTTCAGTCTTCAGGCTTGGCAACAAGTGCTTATAGCCATCAAGGCATCCCACAAGACCTGAAAGAAAGGTACCCTTTAAATATAATTCTAGATGTTTTCCGATAGATTACTTCAGAGTGTGTGTGTGTGTGTGTGTGTGTGTGTGTGTGTGTGTATACACTTTTAAAATATTTCTGTAATTTAACTTTCTTCTTTCCATCTGAATTTTCATTATGAAGCTATCTATGCTTGATGACTGTTCCTCCTATTGCCTTTAGGTATGGCTTTAGGATTTTAGGTCATCATAAATTAAAATTGATTTTTTTTCACTCAGTGAATATTAAGATATTGGGATTATCTATGTATTCTCTGAAATTTGCGGGATCAAACAAAATTTTTAACATGTATTCTAAATGTTGCTGTTTCCTTTTCTTTCTTTTTCTCCTCCTTCCTTCCCTTCCTTCATTCCTTTCTTCCTTCTTCCTTTCTTTCCTCTCTTTCTTTCTCTTTCTTTCTGTCTGTCTGTCTTTGTTTTTTGAGATGGGGTTTCTCTGTGTAGCCTTGGCTGTCTGGACCAGACTGGCCTTGAACTCACAGAGATATGCCTGCTTCTACCTCCCTGAGTGCTGGGATTACAGGCATGCACCATCACGTCCACACTGCTGTTTCGTTTTCATTGTTATTTCAGGGCTTGGAAGTCATTTTTAGTCACTAATTTTTTTTTTTTATGAGATTTCTTTGTTTTTCTTTCTGACCTGTAATTACTTGGACTTTAATGAGAAGAAAATTGGGGATGTATAGTTTTTATTGGTGCACATTTCTTTCTAATGTTTAAAATTAATTTTTGAACACATTTTAAAATATCAGAAATCATTTTTTGAAAGGTCATCTTTTTAATAATTATGATGTGCCTAGTTTATGTATCAGATATTAGGAATACAGAAATGGGAATCTTCCCACAGTGGCCTTCTTTTGTTTTTGTTTTTTTTAATAAGTACATTGTCTCCTGATATGCTGTTTGTGTTTGTTTAATGTGGATTAATTTATTCATGGTTGGCAAATAGGGCACTGTAGACAATGTGACAAGGAAGTTTTATTATGTGACAACTGGACTAACGCGGCCATATGAACAGAGCAAGCAGCAAATGCTGGCCATCTGCTTCACTTAGGTTGTTGTGGCTGTATGGTCGGCTCTGAAAGCATCTGTTTTGTTTGCCATCTCTGGGCATGCTGCTCTTTCATCTTGTAATGTCACATCCTCAGTCTGTTCTCCTTTCCCCTTCTGTTAAGTGACCATCAAGTTTTCTCAGTAAGAACATATTCAGACTTTTTCACGCGTTTTAATTGTACTAGTGTTTTTATTAGAACTTGTTTTCTTGTTAGTATTCTACATAGATAGTTGAATAGGTTATAAGTAGTCTGCCCTAGTCCTTTCTGAAGTGTACATGGTCTTATATTTTTGAGGACTACATAAATATTTATGATCTAATAGGAAAACTGTCTAGATAACAGCTGATTCTGGCACAAATAAAAATGATGTTGGAAACACAGAAAGGGAGCAGTTTTCTTGGGCAAATTTAGAAAGGTATCGCTAAAGAGATTTTTATTTTACACTCAATATGGGAACAGCATGAGAAGAGACATGGTTGTGAATTTTAGGAATGTCTGCAGTGAGGAGGTGGCCAGAGGTGGGAGCAGAAAGTAGCGTTTATGAAGGCCCAAACACAGGGTTAATAGATTGTGTCAGTACTTACTGCCTGGTTATTATGCAAGCATTAGTATGTCAGTTCACATCTTCTCTGCTGATTCTAGAGAGGTAAGCTCAGGCCTTCCCTTCAGCAGATCCGGATCTGAGTCCTAGGGAGACTGGAATCTCTGCTTCTCAGTGGGCATTCCACCTCTTTGCATCCTCAGTTTGTTTCTTTTACTACGTCCCGTTTCTGGCTTTCTGTGCCTTAGGGGCTCAGGGTTTCTAAGTTAGTTGCTCTGTCTCTACTCCCAGTAGGTTATATACAGCTACCCCTGTCATTGTGGGTACAGACGGGACAGGGTTGAGGGACTCATCCATTTCCCTTAGCTCTCATGGTGGCTCTTCTCTGTGAAGGCCATACTGCTTCAGAGTTCTTAGTTCTCCTTAGCCCAAAGACATCCCATGTTCTGTGCCTTAGGGGCTCTCTTTCAACCCCATGTCTTTGCTGATCCCTTATTTTTAATATAAGGACTTAGTGAAGGCCCAGGGGAGAAAGTTGGTCAAAGTAGACTTGACAGCAGAAATTCTCAGAAATTCTATGGTCTATAGCCAATCTCCAGTTTGCCTTTAAAGTCAATAGTAATTTCAACTTGTTCTCTTCACCTTCTCACAGGGAGTTTCTCTGTGAAATTTTTAATTTTAATTGTTAAAATTTTTAACAATTACAGTCTTACAGGCTGGTTCTTGTCATTGAGAGGTGACATAAGTGAACTGTCAGGATTTTTATTAGTCAGACAGGTCCCTTTGATTCTTGTAGTTGCTGGTTTATCTCTAGTTTCCCTTTGTTCCCCTGACTTAACTTGGGACAGCAGCTGAATGTCTGGAGTATTCACTCTATCTATCTTGTGGGTATTGTTTCACCAACACCCAAGAATGTCCAGATGCCCTCTGCTCCTCAGCTGCCACTTTACCTGTCTCTCCTGCCATCCAGCCCAGCACTAGTGTTAGCGAGGCGCCGACAGGTGTCTCGTGGGGTCATCGTGGACATCAGCCTTGCCTTTCTATACGCTTGTCCTCATTAGGGTCTTGAGCCTATTGCACTGTTAATTTGACTTTCTTGGCAGTCCATGTTCCTAACTCTCCCCTACCAGGGAAGGGTATCCTAAGCACCAGGACCCTGTTGCACCCCAGCCTCATTTTCTATACTGAAATAAATACACATGCAGGATGGAGACAGAGTAGGTATGGACCTGATCTAAAAGTAGAATTTTCCTTTTGTGCAAGACAATAACTCTTGAAACCCTGGCTATGATAGTATTGTCTGTTATCTTTTTATTTTTTATTGTCTTTTGTTTTAATCCTCGGAACTACACCAAGAGGCTAATGTATGACAGGCAAGCATTTACTAGCTATGCCTCCAGTCTTACTAATTCTTTCTTTTTATTTCAGATATCATTTTTAACTCTTGTCGGGTTTTACATTTCTATTTATTATTTATTACTTTCCAGTAATAAATAATAGGCACAACTCTGGGATGTATGCTGTTAGGCACATGTTCTGTCACTGAGCTACATGCCTAGCACCTTCTGTTTTTTAATACAGCTTTTGTTATACTGAAAGTAAAAGAAACAATTAAATCTGTTATAGTTAAAACCGAAAAATTAAATTGCTTCAGAATGCATTTTTCTAAGATGCTAAGATGATCTTTATAAGGAGAGGTTGTATTTTTAAAATAACATTTTGATTAATTCTGTGAAAGTTCCATGCAGTGTATCTTCCTCCCGTGTATACCCTGTCTACCCACCCAGCTTTGAGTTTTCTTCTTTACTCTCAAACTCATTGAGTTAGTGTTGTTCAGCTACTGCTGGGAGTGGACCCTTGCCTGCAGCGTGATCAGTGTCCTGAGGTCACATCATTAAAGAAACATGTATACCTCTCTCCTAGCAGCTATCAAATGCCAGTAGCTCCTCAGATAGTAGTAGGATTTTGCGCCTACTTCTGCCCTCCATCTCAGAACGAAATCAATCAGGGAAACAGTCTCATTCATAATACCTGAATAGGTGTGTGTGGGTCTGTTAATGAATAAATCTAACTAAGGAAGTAAAAGACTTGTACAATAAAATCTTTAAAATAATAAGGTAAATAAAAATAATAAATAGAAACTGAATAAGATGCCCAAGGATAGGAGTTAGTAGGATTACTAATGTGAAAGTAGATGTCCTACCAAGAGTTATTTACAAGTTCAGTGCAATCCCCATCAAAATTAAAATATTCTTCAGAAATTGAAAAACAAAATCTTAAATTTCATTTGGAAACACAAAATGCTCAGGAAAGCCAAAACAAGTCCGAGGAATGAAAGAACTGCTGGAGGATTAAAATCGCTGATTATGTTATACTACAGAACTATAGTAATATAATATGGTACTGGCATAGAAACAGACACTGCTCAATAGAATAGAATTGGGGACACGTGCTTTTATATGTGTAATATTTATTCTTCTCTCATACATGGCATCCTACTGCAGTTTCCCTCCTCTCACTCTTCCCTGTTCCCCACCCCACACCTCCTCTCACCCTCAGATCTACTCCTCCATTTCCCTTCAGAACAGAGCAGGCCTCCAAAGCATATCAACCAAACACAGCATGACAAATTCCAATAAGCCTAGGCACATAGTCTAATGTCAAGGCTGAATGAGGCAACCCAGTAGGAGGGAAAGGCTCTGAAGCGAAGGCAAAGAGTCAGAGATGCCTCACCCCCACTGTTAGGAGTCCCACAAGACCACCACACTACAAAACCATAGCATTTATGCAGAGGACATAGCTCAGACCCATACAGGTTCCCTGATTGTCACTGTGAGCCCTGCTTAGTTGGTTCTGTGGGCCACATTCTCTTGGTGTCCTTGACCCCTTTGACTCCTATAGTCCTTCCCCCTCCTCAGGTTCTCCTGAGCTCTGCCTGTTGCTTGGCTGTGGGTCTCTGTATCTGTTCCCATCAGTTGCTGCATGAAGCTTCTCTGACAAAGATGATTGGGCTAGATATTGATTGATCTATGGGTATAGAAGAATATCATTATGAATCATTTCATTGGCTTTTTAATTATTTTATTTTTGGTTCTATCTTATGCCTCTGGGCTCATTCCTGGCCATCCAGGCAGTGTCAGGCATGATCTCTCTCTTGTGGTGTGGGCCTCAAGTTGGACCATTCATTGGTTAGCCACTCCCACGGGTCTGGGCCACCATTATCCCCGCATATCTTCTAAGCAGGACATATTGTAGGTCAGAGGTTTTGTGCCTGGGTTGACTTTCTGGACAGGACCCCAGTAGCACAGACATTAAGACCAACAATGGACAAATGAGATGACATAAAACTAATAAAAAGCTTATATACAGCAAAGGACAATAGAAAGTACAGAATCAGTCTAATGGATTGGAAACCCTTTACCAGCAATACTTTTGACAGAGGGTCACTATCTTGAATATACAAAGAACTAAAAACAAAACAAAACAAAAAACTAAAATTAAAAAGTGGTTCATAGAGCTAAACAGTGTTCTTAAATGATACATTCAAATGGCTGAGAAATATTAGTTTAAAAAATGCTCATCTTTAGCCATCAGGAAAATGCAAATTAAAACACTTCAGCCAAAATGGCCAAGATAAAAAACAAAACAAAAAACTAGAAATGATAGCAGCGGACAGATGTGGAAGAAGGGAACACTATTGACTGCCGATAGGAGGGTCCACCAGTAGTGTGTACCCCCGCCTCCCTTAAGCAAAAACTATTTTTAAGGTTGATTTCTGTGTATGAGTGTTTTATCTGCAACTGTTTGTGCGCACTGTGTGTGTCCAGGCCAGAGGAGGGCCGCCAGATCCTCTGGAACTGGGAAGCTTTTAGCTGCATGTAGGTGTGGGGATCAGAACTCATGCCCACTGCAAGAATAAAGTTCTTCACTGCTGAGCCATTTCTCTAGCCTCAAGGGGGGTTTTATTATGTTCTACAAAATTGTTAACACTTCACAGAATGGACATGGAAAGATACTACCGTCTACTTTATGTTGTCTACTTTATGTTGTCTCATGATTAAAATTCTTATTTCATGTTCAGTGAATGACCAGATTTTGTAAGTCTGCAGTTAGTCACTTGAGGAAATGCATCCCGGGATCCCAGCACTAGGAAGCAAGGGGATCAGAAGTTCCAAGGTGGCCTGGGCTACAGAGTGAAATGATGTCAAAAAAAAAACCTTATGAATAACAGAAGTCATCAACAGCAGTTTCTGCAAGAGGAGCAGTCTATGAACTCAGAAAAGTATTCACCCTATTAGCTAATCAGAAAATGGAAGGTGCAGTGTGAAACCATGTCACTTTGATATAAAGTACCGTGAAAAATGTGTTAATGCCTGGCTTCAGTGACAGGGCAGAGCACAAGCGGAACTCGGTTGTGTTGGTGGTGAACAAATCCATCCACATACTGCTCAGAAAAGCCATTGTGTGAGTGCATAGTGACCAAGTCTGAACCCTCTGTGTCATCAATGGGCACTGTAATGTGTGAGCTGAAGGCTGTGTGTACAGCCACGTAGAGCAACATGGGAATAATGAAATTTGAAAGCAGCTCAGTTGTCAGTTGCCAGGAGAATGGGCCTCAGAGCAAGTGGACAAGTGGACTGTAGCAGTGAGAGGTGTAGAGGACAGCCAGGGCCAGCACCCGTTCAGCCCTTTGTTTGACAGTGGATGAGTTAAGGCTGCTCGGTCTCCGGTCCTTCATCGGCAGAGTGCCAGTTATCATTGTGGGGATTAATGAGTTCCTAAATTTTAAAGTAAAAGAATCGCTGTACCACCAAGCACACAGACAATATCACTGGTACATTGGCATAGTGATTAATATCTAATGATTATACAGTGAAAATGCTTTGTGATGATGTCTGTTGTTACACTGTTAGACTTCTAACAGGGATTTATTTTCTTCCCAGGGAAGCTTGTCATAGGGACATTGTGAACTTGCAAGTAGAGATGATTAAACAATTTCATATGCAACTGGTAAGTATAGCAAACAGTGTCCTAAATAATATAGAGGATCTGAGGGAAAAAGAAAAACCAATCTATCTTTACATAGTTGTTACAGCTAATTGCTAAGATAAGTAGTGGAACGTCAGATGTTTAACAAGTGAAGTAGCTCGCAGCTGCCCATGTACTTTTAGCTTGTGATAGGGCTTCTGCCTCACAGGTTTGTTCTTTGACAAGTAAACAAAAAGATTCCCAAAAGTGTGCCTGTAAAACTTCCAGATACTTAATTTTTTCTGGTAATCTTTGTAGTTAAGTGCAAGATGTACCATTTAGCTAGTTAACTGAACATAAAGGAAGTGACAGCACGACGTGTGTAAAACAGCTTGCCGGGTAGTGTGGCGAGCCAGTAATTTAAAAAGGATTTCCCCCCTTTTCCAGAATGAGATGCACTCCTTGCTGGAAAGATACTCCGTGAATGAAGGCTTAGTGGCCGAAATCGAAAGGCTGCGAGAAGAAAACAAAAGACTCCGGGCTCACTTCTGAAGACCCAGAGTGCCTTAATTTTTTCATCATTCGAGAAGTCTCTGGCAACTAACAATAACACAGAATCAGTATTGTTTTCATGGCCTTGAGCATGGATTTTGCAGCATGCACTATTCCATCTCTGTCAGACATGTTTATATTTTTATATTAAAACCGCACGGATACCATCTCCCTAGTGGGGAAGTCAACAGGAACTTTATTTTCTGTCTGCCTTAGCTATACACTAAGTGCCCTTTGCCTAAGAGAATAAAATGTGCATCTAAGGATAGGTTTATGTTTTGTAAATGACTTTTTTAAACAGATATATTTTTGATGGACAAATTGTATTCTAAATTTTTTTAGGTAGCCGATGTTTAAGACCTTGGCATACCTTCTATTTTATGAAGAAATAATTTTAAAGTGGCAATTAGATTTTTTTCATGCTACTTAGTAATTATTTGTTAACGTGATGACATCAGGTATGACTTATTTATTGTTTGTATGTGTGCTACATTTTGAAGCTTTGAGTTGTACAGATACATGGTACCTTTGCTCAGGTTACCTAACTTTACATGTGAAAAACTTTCAAGGGTTAGAAAAATCAAGGGCTATACATATGCGATTGTCTAATGAATTGATACGCTAAATCAAACTGCAAGGTTTTAATCACCATGGCTCAGCTTATGATCAATGAGACTCTCTTAAAAGACACTAAATGTTACAATATTGTTGCCATTTTTCCTCACAAGTGAAAGGCATAGATTATTTCCTCTGTGTTTGTACCGTTAACGTTAACTCTTTCTAGTTAGAGTGTGCTGCGGATCTCATTTTCTATCTTTAGCCTTACCACAGAATTATTCATGTAGGTGTATCATGCAAAGCGTTTACACACTGGCAGTATGGGCATGCTCACCTGCCTGCTGTGCTCCACACGTTGATAGGGTTGGATTAAGGGGGCTACTCGCCCATTTCTGTTGCCTCTTGCCCAAAGATTTCAACTGTGTACTTGTATATAGGTCTGTTGCCCAATTTTGCTTTCCAGGATCAAAATACTTAACTAAAATATAGCTTAGTTTGCTAACTGTGGGTTTCTAAAGTGATGAAAGGCATAAGGATGTATTTAATAAATATAAGCCTATAAATAATTATCTCCAAAAGTGGAACAGAAGTAAGACTTTTCACAGGTGACTCAGAAAATCTATATCAAGTTGCTGTGGTCTTTTCTTGGCATATATGGTGGAATTATGACTTGTAACAAGTTTCCTTATATTTACTCAAACAATGTTAGAATGCAGAATTACTTTGTCTGTATACTATATTTTAATCTATTAATATTTTCCTACTTCCTTTTTCTATAGGTGTATATATTGTGTATTAAAAGGGGTCTGATAAAACAATTTAGTAATTTTATGTGTATAGGTGAAACACTTGTCATGGATTTAAATGCTGAATACGATGATTAAATTTTTGTATTCAAAACAGTCTGAACTTGAACTTTTTGTCTCTGGCTACAGTGGAGTGATATGGATTGAATTTACCTTCCCACTAGAAATTTGAAAACACAAGAAAAGATTGTTAAAAATACCTAGTAAGAAAATAGTTACTATGTATTAGACATTAGGCACTATAGCACATTTATTTCTGAGAGACTCGGAATACTCAATGTTACAGGTGACAACAAATTTCTTAAAACCTGTTGCCAGGGAAAATTGGAGCTAGAAGAAGCTGAAGGAAAATGGCACAGAAGAGAGAGGATGTCATGGCAGAACATCTTCAGAGTTCTGAAGGGAGAACTCCAGTTCAGATTTATACCCAGTGAAAAATTTTCCAAAAATGAAAATAAAATATCTTTTTTCAGACCTTAAAAAGGCTAAAAGAGTTCACCACAAAAAAAAAAAAAAAAAAAAAAAAAGTTCACCACAAGGAGAGGGAGCTACAGGAAATGTTTAAAAAGGACTTCTGTCAGAAAAGGGTACCACATAAAAGTTTAAACTACACACAAAGTCATTAGATACTATTGAAAGATAAACATAAAATATTATCGTGTTATTAACCAAGGAATAGTTGGCATATGGACTATTACCAAGGTTGGGCGGATGCAGTGATGATAATACATTCAAGTAGATTGCAATAAGGAAGATTGTCAGCTGTAATTGAAAAAAGTTATGAGAAACACACAAGGATCAGAGTTTGGATCTCAGGATCCAGGGGAATCTGTAGGGCACATCCTGTGGCACCTACTGTGGGATGTGAGGCAGACACTGGAGAAGCCCAGAGGCCTGTGGGCCAGCTGGACTGACTACACTGCGGCAAGCAAAAGACCCCGCCTCAGACATTCTCAAAGGTGAAGGTTTACACTCATGATTGTGTTATGATCTCCACATGTGGGCTGTGGAGATCCCTGCACTAATAAACACAAATGCACACACACAGAAATCCAAAAAGAGGTAGTGAAAGTTATGAGACAAATAGAAAATAAACAGCAAGATTGTAGATTTAAACACATACCTAGAAGTATGTTTACTGTAGGTTGTCAGTTAATTTTATAATCAGATTGAATCCTTTTTTTTTTTTTCAGTTTTGGTTTCTTTTTTTTAATTTAATTTTATTTTTTTCTTATCAGTTACATTTTATTAACTCTATCCCAGCTGTGTCCCGCTCCCTCATTCCCTCCCAATCCCACCCTCCCTCCCTCCCTCATCTCCACCGTGCCCCTTGCCAAGTCCACTGATAGGGGGGACCTCCTCCCCATTCATCTGATCCTGTTTTATCAGGTATCTTCAGGACTGGCTGCAAAGTCCTCCTCTGTGGCCTAACAGGACTGCTCCTCCCTTAGGGGGTGGGGAGGCCAAAGAGCCAGTCATTGAGTTCTTGTTAGAAATAGTCCTTGTTCCCCTCACTATGGGAAACCAATTGGTTACTGAGCTACCACAGGCTACGTCTGAGCAGAGGTTCTAGGTTATATCCATACATGGTCCTTGGTTGAATGTCAGTCTCTGAAAAGACCCTGTGCCCAGATATATTTGGTCCTTGTGGAGCTCCTATCTTTTCCCCATCGTACTAACTCCCCTTCTTTCATATGATTCCTTGTACTCTGCCGAAGGTTTGGTCATGAGTCTTCGTATCTGCTTTGAAAACACTGCTAGTTAGAGTCTTTCAGATGCGCTCAGTAGACTCCTGTCATACGTTCAATGCACATCTCATCTGTCTTTCTAAATGAGGATTAATCATCTTACCCGATGTCCGTTCTTGATTATCTTTTTTAGGTGTATAGATTTCATTATGTTTGTCATATCTTATAGGTCTATATAAGTGAGTATATACCGTGTTTGTCTTTCTCCTTCTGGGATATTTCACTCAGGATGATCTTTTCTAGATCCCACCATTTGCCTGCAAATTTCATGATTTCCTCCTTTTTGATTGCTGAGTAGTATTCCATTGTGTAAAAATACCACAATTTCTGTACCCATTCCTCCGTTGATGGACATCTGGGTTGTTTCCAGGTTCTGGCTATTACAAATAAAGCTGCTATAAACATGGTTGAGCAAGTATCCCTTTTGTGTACTTGAGCAAAGTTTGGGTGTATACCTAGCAGTGGTATAGCTGGGTCCTGAGGAAGCACTAGTCCTAATTGTCTGAGAAAGTGCCAGATAGATTTCCAGAGTGGTTGTACCAGTTTACATTCCCACCAGCAGTGGAGGAGGGTTCCCCTTTCTCCACAACCTCTCCAGCATGTGTTGTCACTTGAGTTTTTCATCTTGGCCATTCTGATGGGTGTAAGGTGAAATCTCCAGATTGAATCTTTTAGACAATCCAAACTGTGCTGAACATAAATCTAGTTTAAGCATGAAAGTATAAACTTTAAATGTGAAAATAAAATGGGCAGCAGGAGACTGTCATACTGGGTATAGATTGAGCATAGGAGACCTCAAAGCCAATCCCCACAGTGAGACACTTTCTCCAACAAGGCCGCATGTCCTAATGGTGCCATTTTCTATGGGCCAAGCATTCAAGCATGAGTCTGTGGGGCTATACCTATTCAAACCACCACAGTTGGTAAGGAAGTAGAACAACTGTGAGTTTTACACTGGAAAACAAGAATTTTAGGGAACATTTTAAGGAACGTTTTAACAGTTTCTCACATCATCCATCAGTCATGTGCCTCAGCTCTTATACTCCAGACACTAATCAGAACTTGCACAGTAATGGTCACAACAGCTATGTTAATATCCAGAATCTGGAAGCCTTTCAAACACTTGCCAGCTATTAAATGAATAAGTAAGTGTGTGTGTGTGTAATGGAGTCTCACCCGCTGTATGAAGGGAAGAACTTGAACATACAACCACATGGATTAGCCACAAAATATATTCATAGTAGCGACATTCAGTTCTAGAAAATGCAGACTTACCTTGGCAGCAGTCGATGTTTGTAAACACAGAGTAGGGTCAGAGGATACCAAAGGGTCACTGAAAGACTCTTGTCATTGGTGACTGCAGTGTCTGGGTGTTAAAATTAGAAGTGTTCGTGCCAATATTTTCCAAATTATATGGTTCTGATATAGGTAGTTTATTTTAATATCAACTCCCTCCTCAATTTGTTATTTACATAGCCCAGGCTGGCCTCAAACTCCATATGTAGCCAAGATTGACCTTGAACTTTTGATCTTCCTGTCTTTACTCTCTCATGTGCCACCCAAACGGGGATCACTTCTAATGTATGGCATATGTTGGTTGAAATGACGTATTCCTACTCCTCACACCCTTAATATTGTTAAAAATATAAAATAGATACAAAGTGAGAGAATAATTTGACATCAGCTTAGCATTCAGAACTTACTTTGCTTTCTTATTGCTACTAATACTCTGACAAAAGTAACAGAAAGCTTATGTGGCTCCTAATTCCAGGCAGAAGTCTGTCATCGTAGGGAAGCGAGGCAGCTGGAAATAGCCGTGCAGAGTCGCTGCCACAGTCAAGAGTATACCTGCTAGGGCTCCAATTACTCTTTCCATTTTATCCAGTCAAGGGCCAGCCCGAGAGATGATGTTGACCACATCTAAGGTGAGTCTGCACCTCAGTTGGCCTAAGAAAATCCTTCCTAGATACGCCCACGGCGCAGCCTCCTCTAGACATGAGGTTCCCTTCCCAGCTGATTCCAGATTGTGTCGAGCAGCAGACTTAACCATCCCAGCGTATGTGAGGAGAGTCATCAGCACGGAGCTTCGCCGTGTAACATGCAGGCCATGTCTACAGGTAACAGTTAACTAGGAGCTCTAAGAACGTGCAGTGGTCCGCTAAATACGTCGCTTGAGAATTCCCACATTTTTTTGGTTTTATAGTAAATAAAGACAGTGAAATCATGAAAATTTTCTGGGATGAAATGTATTTTTCTGCTTTCTTAAAAAAAAAAGAGTAGCATTTTGGTGGCAGCCTTTACGTGTTTAAATTTTTAGGTGTTTGACAGTTTCTAGTTAATCAACTTTAACCACCTTAATGTTTTTATCTCACCTCATACACACCTGTCTGTAAATGGTTACTTGTTGATGAGCTGAGTGTTTGGAGCACAGAGAATTAGAAGTTTTATATGAGGTCGGTTTGTCTTTCTAGGAGACTCGGATGGTTGTCATTTATGCCTGTACAGTTTCTTTGATAAGTGGCAAATCATTACCGAGAAAAGTGAAACTGTCAAAGAATAGGCTTACATTTCCTTCTTTTGTTTGTTCGTTCTACTCTGTTTACTTTTGAGACAGGCTGGCCTTACCATGGGACCCTCTTTCTCCAGGCTCCTGAAATCTGAGATGATAACCTTCCTGGCTAGGATGCAGCATTTGCTCAGAAGGTAAAGTCTGTGTGCGGAACTTGTCATAGGAGTACGGAATAAAGGTTGTACTCAGGTGTGTGTGTGACTTTGGGTATTTTCCTTTTTCGCTTTCCACCACATTATTTTGTAGACTCGCTCACTGAGCTTGGAGCTCTCTGGCTAGACTGGCAGGGTGCTCCTGTCTCTGCCTCCCAGGGCTGAGGTTACGGGCATGCACAGCCATGCTCAGCTTTTTATGTGGGTGCTGGAAATGCAAGCTCGCCTGCGTGTGCTTGCACAGCCAACACTTTACCCAGTGAGCCATCAGACTTACGTTTCTCCTCATTTATTGAATGCCTGGCATTATGGATAATGATATTTGTTAAAGGCAAGAGACTGCATTTCATGGGAATAATACTCACTAGTTAGGCTATTCAGTAAATTGTGATTTTACCACTTTTACCATTCAAAAAATATTTAAAGGAAATATATCATTATGTGCTCGACCTGAGCTTGAACCATGATTACACACTATGAGGAAATGTCAGCTGTAAAGAGTAATTAGGATATTTTGACCAACTATTGAAATGGGTTACTCATATAGGACTATTTTTTCCCATTTTCTAGCAGAAATATACTGGGAAACTATCTGAAATGTCTAGACTTAGGGCTTTCAGTCTGAAA